CTATTGAGTCAGAAAAGGACCACAGACACACACATCGCGAAATGTGGAGAGTTTTTTTACATTCAGCGTGTGGATTCAACTTCCATTAAAACAACACTCTTCCCCCAATTCTTGATTAAAATAGACACTTTTCACAATTCTGGGTTTCTTAGCAGCAGAAATCGTCATAGTTGGGTAACCTTAGAGCGCAGTGAATCTGAGAGTACAACAAATATTTTTTTTACAATCCTATTTACTCAAATAATAAAAGAAAAATTCCTCGACGGTGCTATCAAGTCTTCAGAAAAAAATTGTGTGAAATTGATGACGGCAGCCAGAGGTGGGAATATCATCAAATTTAAGCCCCACAGACACTGCATTAGAAATAACTCACATAGGCAGTAATTCGTTTTTTTTGTAATTTGACGCACAGATGATATGATACGTATGATATAATGTTCATACTCAAAAAATCTGAATATTAAAAACTTTCAAGGATTTAAAATTGTGATGACTGTTAAACGCATCATAATCCACTTGTTAAGTGTGACGTCACGCAAAGCGGCTTCCGGGTCCAAGCGCTCCATTCAACTGAATGGGGAGACTCATGAAATGGTAATAAACGTTTACAAAGCGAATAAATACTTACGAAAATCACAATCGCAATATATATGTCCATGCCTAATATCCGATGGCCAGAAAGTGATTCATTTTATAATAAATTGTTAAATTTTTGGTATGTTATGCAGCAAACCCAGAGATTGTTGTGTACACTATGACTTTATTTAAAATTAACTTTAGTGTGTGATGGGCATAAAACGTGATCACAAACAAATGATTTCTCCACTCAAATGAATGGCAGCTTGGACCTGGAAACAGTATACCTACGTCACCACTTAACAAGCGGATAGTCTTGTGAAAAGGGTCCATTCCATTAAAACAACACTCTTCCACCAGTTCTTGATTCATACCTGCATCCAATACCTCAGTTTGTCACAGAGGACATGGATGAAATGTTCCTGAATGAAAGTGGAACTGCAGTAAAAGCCAAAAAATTTTATATGAAACACCTGAAATTACATGAAACTCCCGAGGAAATGCAGATAGCGTGGTGCCACAATGACGTTAATCTAACTATGTGCTATAATATGTAAAACGGGATCATGAAAGAAACGTGCAACTCATGTAAACACCTTAATCATTTTATTGTCTTAATCAGATTAAGGCAAATAATTTGGTTACTGATGTCCATGTAAATGTAGTCAGTGTCTTTACTTTCACCTTTGATCAATTTAAATGTTTTATTTCTTTAAAAAAAAAAAAGTCTAAATCCCAAACTAAAGGGCAGCTTACGCACATATTGGTTCAACTCATTTTTTTTCGTGTTAGGGGATTTCTTGCACTTAATTAAGCCAGTCGCTTATCAATTTTGCACAAGCCAAGACATTGACATGGACACTTACTGTTTGCCATCACCTCCTTGGTTTGCACTTCAATTGGTTTAATGATAGCACGCCATTAATAGGTTAACAGCAAGTTATAGATTTAGTTCTGTTGTTCAGGAAGTCTGTTAGATTGAAAGTGGAAATAAGGAACGATTATCTAGCAAAGCAAATAAGCCCTCATTATGTCCAGAAAGATGTGAACCTCTAATCATTGTTTAAAACTACTTTAACTGACTAAAACTTTAGAATACATTAATGTGATGTTGCACATGGCCGTCTCATGCTTTATATCAGATGATGTGTTTATCAGCTGAACAGGCTTGACTAAAAGGAAGTGGAGGGGTCTTCTTTGTGAAGTGTCATGAGGAATCTGTGTGTCACTTTCTGTGTGTCATCATCTCCATTCTTTATGTCTGTTTTTGTAAATTGTTTGTTACACATCTGGCTATGAGAATATTTCCAGATGTTGTCTTCTGAAACAGAGCCATTTAGGGAATAAGGTAATGAGGCCCATAGGATTACCTCTATCTCTATTTCTGGTGAGCTGAACAGCCTCAGTCTTTTATTTGGTGCAGTCTTTGAGAGATAGAATCTGGATTAGGTCTAAGTATAATAAATAAAAGAGCACTTAGGGATGCTCTTAAACCCCTATTAACTGCCAGTTCATGTAAATTCCCTCTACATTGCCTGTGACTGACATTTGACAAGACGTTTTGTAGACTCTTATCCAAGAGAAAATGTTTTCTCATTTCCAAACGGTAAACCAAAAAAGACCTAGTGTACCATGAGTACCCTGAGAAGGAGTACTTGTCTAAATGTCATTTGCCCATGTCACAAAATAAAGTAAATCCGGTCCTGCTTTGGGCCCAGGAGAAGTTTTGACCTGCCTACACATTAGTATTTTTTTCTGTAGGTTCTTATAGATCAGAGATCCCCAAAGTAGGGCCTGCAAGCCAAAGTCGGCTCATGTTAACCCTTGATTTGGCCCGCCATTGCATCTGAATAGAGAGGGAGAATGATGGGGAGTAGGTTGAGGCGAATTCCTTTGACAGAGATTAACATTTCAAAATAACTTAACCTTTTGTTTATTTGTTTTATTGCTGTGCTACAAAAAGCCAGCTGAATTAAAGAATTCAATTAAATGTTGTAAGTGAATCAGACTTTTCAAGTGTAAATACTGTCACTTGGCAGATGGAGGACAATGCATACGAAATCTGCGAGCAAATCAAAATGAAGGCAGGAGCAACTCAACTAGTATATTCAGCATTGAACTCCATTGTGTGATAAATGGGATTGCTTATGTTTGAACTGTAATAAGTTCAATGTAAAGTCTTAAAAATAATACTGTCGTAGTTAATATGATTTAAAGCAACATTTTCAGCAAATTCCCTTTGGCAAATTCATTGTGATACAGTTTGGTATATATTTGGCCCATAGCCCTCATTTCAGTTTGGTATTTTGGCCCTCTATTGGAAAAAACTTTGGGCACCCCTGTTATAAATACAGTAAAGCCTGAAATTATTTATACCTAAATGAACCTATAAATTCTTACATAAAGTTACTCAATCAGCATGTTTTTGTTTTGTTTTTTGACAAAAATGACAGACTTCTCATAAAAAGGCTTTAACTGATTATTTACATGACCACGACAATAAATGTGTTTTTCCCGCCATCTTAGGTATTTCATAAGAAAGTCAATTTATACTCCGATGCTAACGGACATAGCATGTTACAGTAGAATATAGCTATAAAATAATATGCTAGATGCATAAACTCACTGTGATTTAACTATTACAGAAACAGATGTGACTGGCTATATCATATCTAGATAAATACGTCTAGATATCTATATCATATCTAGAAAGCTGTAGTACAATTTACGTGTTTCTGACTAATTCGCATGTATTTACATTGATACATTTATTGATTACAGTTCTTTTATTTCACCAAAACTACACACATTTTATACTGCGAAAACAAATATTAAGCTTCATCAGTAGTTAGAACTATTTAGTTTCGCGAAACAGTTGTATTATTACCTCATCAGCTTCAGCTCCTCAGAATAATGAATGAATGATGACAGTGCAGTGGTGGGATTTTTTTAACACCATGTGACAACAGTGCCACTCCCACCTGCCGGGAGAAACAGGTACTGTTGAACAGCGTTAAGTGGAATGCTCGTAATGGCCTGGGGTATGAATAATTTTGGGCTTGACTGAATGTTATAAGTGAAGTTTCACAAACTAATTTCGAGAGGAGCACATGATATGATTGACTGCAGCTGGTCCCTCATCTACAATCATTAGTTAGCCAATCATATTAATGCACACTCACTATAAGTAGCCTGGCTAAAACTACTCCCTTATCTTCATTTCTGAAGAAACCCCCCATCCACTCCATCTTCTCCTTTTCTCCTATAACAGGGAGCTCATGAGAACTACCTGATCTTGTACTCCCCTTACATGCTCATTGACCAGGCGGAAGCCCTGGGCTCAATTACTGTATCTCCGAGCTCAGGGTTGTCTCTCAGGACAGCATGCCAAACCTGCTATTAAAGTAAAGAATTTATGCTTGATTATTTAAAAAATACCTGTAGTCAATACTAATATTGAAAAGCTACAGTAGGACAGCTTTTGTACCATTTTTGTGAGAGTCTACTGCTGTCATGCACCAGATAGACAGTTTCTGGACAATTATCATTACTGTATGTAATAAAGGGCAGCATGGTGTCACAATGGGTAGTGCTGTTGCCTCACACCAAGAAGGTCACTGGTTTGAGCCCCAGCTGGGTCAGTTGGCATTTCTGTGGGGAGTTTGCATGTGTTTATGTGAGTTTCCTCCGGGTGCTCTGGTTTTCCCAAACAAGTCCAAAGACATGCGCCATAGGGGAATTGGGTAAGCTAAATTGTCCGTAGTGTATGTGTGCTTATGTCCTGGTCCTCCAGGTTAAGGGTTGAGTGTTGGGCTTACTACCCACCTCATAAAAATGAGATGTTACTTAACACCAACATGGTGCATCTAAATATTAACTTCGATATAAAATGGTCCTGGGTGTAAGTATGTAATAAATCAAATATAATAATATAACTACAGAAAATTTACCTTTCTAATTTCAAGCCTAGTCAGCACATGTTTGATTTTGATGTTAGAAAATAATGGCTTTCACTCACGCAATGGATGGCACTGACCTTCAGAGAGGGATCAGAATGTGATTCTTTGTGTGTTTGCTGTAGGATTTAGTTTATGTACAGTTTAGCACCGTTCTCAATTTACAGTTAGCATCACGTCATAAACATCTATTCTTCAAATTCTTCAAATGTCATCCTTGAGCTTACTGACCTTTGTTGAATTTTTGAAATGTAGGCATAATGTTTATTTTGTAAACCTATACAATTAAGCTGTACAATACTTATTATCATACTTCTTTTCCTGAAAATAATACATTCAGGTGAATTTTACTAGAAAGTACACCCTTTGCTTATTCAGATGTTGACATTAGCATTCTCCCAGAGGGAAGTTGCTGAAAGCAGTCTCGTGGATGTTTACTGATCTCTTGACCTTGTTCTCCCGGTTCAGCTGGATCTGAGCCAGCCAATCGAGAGCCAGGGTCCGTTTGATGTCATCATCCACAAGCTGACCGACCACATTGTTGATGCTGACCAGAATGTCACAGAGTCTCTGCTACTTGTTCAGGGTGTTCAGGTAACTATGAAAATCAGCTCAAGCAACCATGCATTTGTTACTCAAGCGTACATTCATTGTATAATTAGCTATTCAGTGCTATTCAAGCTGTTTTTTAAATCACATACAAAAATACAATTTCATAAAAATACTTAGCAATAAGTAATGTATTTTGCTTATCTTTTAAAAAGGAATTTAAACATGCTATAAAATAATCCAATGTAACATTCTGTTGTCCCAGCTCAATCTTAAATGAATCTTAAAGGAAACACAACAGTTTTACGTATTGTAATGCATTTATGTATTTTACACCAGAACAGTGGCTAAAAAAAGTGGATTTAATTCAGATGAAAACATAAGATTTGTAAAGGGAGGCATGCCTTCAAACCCCACCCCTAAACCTACCCCTCATTGGGGGGTTGAAAATTGTACTTAAATGTATAAATATGAATAATTAATGAGTACAAATTAATATGTATTAACTACTAAATCAAAAAGTTATGCATTGCCATGAGATGGCATTATTATTTCATATAATATAGTTCAGACCCAGAAATCTCTAGGTGCCATTTAAAATGTCCTTTTTTTAGGTTCAGTAATTTTATTTTAATGGCGATCAATTGTTTTGTTTTTTTTTGTCATTGCCTTAAACGTAAAATAACTGAACACAAGCTTAGGAGGTTGCGAAAAATGCTAATTCTTATGGCAAAAGCCGTTTTATCATTTATTCAATAGCCAGTGATAGTATCTTTACTAATGAAAAAGTACTGGTATCTAATACATACAGTTGAAATTAAATGTCAAAACGGCTTACCATATATTCTAGAAAGAAATTTCAGACACCACTTAAAGGTTTTTGCATCTGAGCTCTTCATATGCTCCTGTTTTAAATCATGCCAACACTTTTATGTTTATAAACAGAGAATTCCCAGGGGCACAGTATTGAAAACTTGAGGATTTCAAACAGTGAGGCGATTCTTACTGATTGACCAGTGTATTCAAGATACCAACAGATATGTCTGTGATTGGCTGCACTATTACTTAAAAACATTGTAAACATACATCTGCAATGTTCTGTTGAGTTCAAATATAATATGCACTGGAGCATTTGCCAAATCTGTTTCTCCAATATCAAACTAAGCCCCATAATTCCATTGACCCCTAGTGGCCCCTCTTCTTACTTAATGATTAAATCTGTCCCTTATAGGAACATAAGAAGACTTGTGTGTGTCTCTTTTCAGGACTACATAGACGCTCACCCTGAAACAGTGATTTTGGACCCTCTTCCGGCCATTCGTACCCTGCTGGACCGGTGCAAATCGTATAAGCTAATCCATAAACTTGAACACAGCATGGAAGGTGTGTAAGCAACACAGATACAGTCATTGATTAAGGACAGACCCTTTCATCATGGTATCACTTATTATAGATAAAACCATCCCTATAGGACACCTAAATAAAGAAAACAAACTGTGGTTGCTTGCTTTATGTTTCAGTGTGAGCTAGAATGTTGACCGTGGACAGCATTTACACTAATTCTAAATAATGTAAAAGGTTCTGTAAAGCAGGCCTCTAGATCCTCCTTTGTTCATCAGGGGTGAACTAACACGAGGAGGGCAGGTTTTTGGCTTTGCGCACAGGCTTATGCAGGGCTTATGTCCTAAAGCTGCTGAGTCGTTCATTCTTTGTGCTGCTTGCTCTCAGCATTCACTGGCCACAGAAAGAGCATGAGGCCCGTTGGATCACTGCAAGCCAACACAATCACCAGCTGGGAGAATGGCGTAGTGCCTAAGGAATTCCATCACAAACAAAAATATATTAAGCTGAAAAAAATACACAAATACAGTTGAAGTTAGAATTATTAAACCCCCTCATTTATTAGCCCCCTGTTTATTTTTTCCCCAGTTTCTGTTTTACGCAGAGAAGTATTTTTTCAACAAATTTCTAAGCATAATAGTTTTAATAACTAATTTCTAATAACTGATTTCTTATATCATTGCCAAGATGACAGTACATAATATTTGATTAGATATTTTTTCAGTGACATTTAACACTAGGTTAAATAGGCAGGTTAGGATAATAAGGCAATTAATTGTATAACAGTGGTTTGCTCTGTAGACAATTCAAAACAAATATTGCTTAAGGGGGCTAATAATATTGAACTTAAAATGGATATAAAAAATTCAAAACTGCTTCTATTCTAGCCAGAATAAAACAAATAAGACTCTCTCCAGAAGAAGAAATATTATCAGACATACTGTGAACATTTCCTTGCTCTTTTAAACATCATTTTTGAAATATATTAAAAAAAATTTAATAAAAATCAAAGGGGGGCTAATAATTCTGACTTCAACTGTAAGTATCTGCAGTACGCAAATTGTATGATTTTGGGGTCATCAACTAGAGCATAATGTACTTGTTATTGCTGAGTAAACCCACATGTATGATTGATGATTATCTTCAATCACCCCGAAGGGGTTGATTTTGCAGTAACACCCAAAGTAAGTTCTTCATGTAATTTTTAATAGGAGCAAGGGTTTTTGATTTGAGATCTTAAGATGTACAATTAAATAATTGTACACAAAATACCGAGTGTCCTCCTCTAAAAATATCAATTATGTAGTTCATTAAAACAGCTTATTATGATATAAATGTCAACATCAATGTTATTTATATAGCGCTATTCAACACAACTGAAGGTGACCAATGTGCTGCACAATACAAATCACAAAAAGAGATAGATATAAAATCATAGCTAAAACAAACAATTCTCACTGAAAAAATGCCATTAGAATATATGCATTATATATATATATATATATATATATATATATATATATATATATATATATATATATATATATATATATATATATATATATATATATATATATTTAATTTTAAGTGAAGTTTATTTATAAACTAATTTCAAGCGGATCACGTGCCTATGATTGACCACAGCTGGTGCTGCATTAGCAACACAGGATTCTGCAATTGGATGATTCCTAACTCATTGTAAATAATCAGAGTTTCTTACATTAGTTATCTTCATGTGGAAAAATCCACCCTTCCACCCCTACTCATCCCTTCCTTTCCTTGACAGAGTTGCTTGGCGGCCAAGTGGTTAGCACTGTTGCCTCACAGCAAGAATACCATTGGTTCAAATCCTTACTTGGCCAGTAGACGTTTCTGGGTGGAGTTTAGATGTTCTCCCAGTGCTTTTGTGGGTTTCCCCGGGTTCTTCGATTTCCTACCACAGTCCAAAGGCATCCTACATAGACGAATCGACCAAATCAAAATGGCACCATTGATGAGCTCATAATCAGCAATTCCTAATTGCCATTAGCACCAAACTCCCCTCCTGCCTTACAAACAGTATGGAGCCCTGGGCTCGAGGATGTTATGAGCTCAGGGCTCTCTCCCAGGACAGCATGCCGAACAAGCTTTATAATCAATCATCAGCTAAGTGTGAACTTTTGAAATAAGATTTATTTAATTAAAATATTTTCAATAAAGTCTTTCCCTTATCAAGGTTAAATGTATTTAATTGTATTTAAACACAGTAGAAAGTCTATATTAAGTAGGTTTTTTCTTTAAACATTAAAAAATGTATCTTATTCTATGCATTAAATGCATTTTTGCACTTAACAGTGTTCATTATAACTGATCATAGAGTTAAAAGTGGCAGTGTAATGGTCATAAAGTCTGCATTATTTTATATTTTGTACCACATTCACATTCACAAAAGTACAATATCAGGATAATAGTTTAAGTTATGGACATAGTTAATTCTAAAAGTAACTAAATTATAGAATAGAATCTCTTATTTTAATGATAGCAAAGCTCAAGCTTTATTTACTCCACAGGTTTGAGTGAAACCTAATGATGATTATGTTATCCAGCATATTTTTAATCTAGCATTTTTATAATTTTACAACATTTTCATAAAAAGTACAATATTAGGAATACTAGTTTAAGTTATGCGAGTCATTAATACTAAAAGCAATATGCATTATAGAATAAAATATTTGGTAACATTTTAAAATAATGGTCTATTAGTTAATCTTAGTTAATGTATTTAATAACACGAACACACTATTAGTAATACATTTATTACTGTTTTTTATTCATCTATGTTAACATCAGCCCATTCTATTTAAATTAGTTATCATTAGTTTATGTCAACTCACAGTGCATTAACTGATGTCAAGCATTAGTAAATGTTGAACTTGGATTAATAAATGCTTTACAAGATTATTCATACTTAAATACGAATAATGAATTTGAATAGTAAATACATTAACTAATGGAACTACTAAAGTGTTACCAAATATTTTCTTTTAAAGACAGCCAAGCTTCATTTACTCCACAGCTTTGAGTAAAACCTAATGATGATGACGTTATTCAGCATTTATTTAAAAATAATCCTAAAAATTGTGTTTAGTGCAAAAGCCTAATGTTTTAAACCCAATCGGATCGCAAGTTAACAACTACAATGAATCCTTCAATCCGAAAATTAGCATGACCTCTATCAAAAGCTTTTCAGATTCGAGAAGCAGATGCTGTTCAGTCAAGAGCACATCAGAATGTCAGTGTTGTCTGTGGTGCAGGAGTGTCAGCTGAGGGTTAGTGTGAAGTTAACCATCCGCCTTGGTGCTTCCCCAGTCTCTAAGAAAGAGACCACTCTGTTTATGATACAAAGGGAGTGACTATTTTCTAGGGCCTTTTCTCCAGGCAACCGCCTCCATGGCTGTTAGCTTATGAAACAACACTGCAAGGGATTCTGGGAAAAGGGGGATAACACAGCTCGTATAGCCTTCATATTACACAAGATCCTCTTTGAAATAACTCACTTGCCAAATACATGCACGTATCAGCTAGTGCCATCGATGACTGATTTTTTTTAAAGTCAGACACATTTTTTCCATGATCTAATTGGTCGTGTCAGCATGTCCACAATGACAACAAGCTGTTTAAATAAAAAATATAAGCATTTTGGGTGAGTTACATAGTCAGTTGACTTGGTTGTGTAAATTGGCGCTCATCCTAATGAATCACATCCACCCATATCTCTAAAAATAAACTTTAATTTATTCATTCATCATCACCTTGCATCACACCTCTGTATTCAGCATTTATGGCTGTTTTAAAGGTTACTGCTTGTTTCATCAAATGGATTCATGTTCCTTGTTTAATGTAAAAGGTGATGCTTTAATTCGGTTGAGCCGCGTCGAAGCTGCTCGACAGAAAAAGAATGTTTCTGCGGTGCTATAAATAGACTGCACTTTCGCTCGTGGAAAAGAGGCTGTTTATGAGACTTAACTGATGGTTGCAGATCAAAAGCGGTCTGAAAATTCACAGATACCGCAGCCGTTCAGTTTGAATTGTTTCCATGGATCCAGTAGTAATATTATTCTGTAGAAAGAGTAGTCATCAGTTAAAATGTGTGTAGGCTACACATCATTAAGACCGCCATCCAAACTTGGAGTCTACGTGGAGTTACGCTCAGGGGGTGCTGGTTAATCTTGTCTTGTTAATGCTGTCATCTGGCCTGTCACCCTTTCGTTTGTGTGTGTTTCAGGAAAGAAAGAAATACTGTACTGTATGAAAGGAGGAAAAGATGAAATGACATTTAATTGACAGACCTTAATAAACAATCTGACAGAATCAAAGGCTAAAATCAAATGATCCGTTTTATTAGATTAAAAAACATAATTGTCAATGTTTTTGATATTGACATGACTTTAATTACTTTAATCTGTTTCTGCTTTACCTAAAGATGTCTTTATGTGTAAATGTATTTGTTACTGTAGGTACAGAGTAGTTAGGCTCATGATTTTTTTTGTGCAACTTTTGAGGTTAGATACAGTTAAGGCCTAATGTTAATGTTGTTGTTTGGTTAAGTTTGTAATTTTTTATTCATATCTAGCTGTAAGGTCAACATTCCTTAATTCCTTAGGTCAAAGGATTAATTTATTACAGGTATATTAAACCCATAAAAAATGTAAACAATAAGTACATTATTAGAAATTGTTTTTTTTAAACATTAGATCATTGTACATTGCAATCTTTCACAAAACATCTCATCTCATTTTTGTCTGCTTATTCTGGGCCGAGTCACGGAGACAGCAGTCTTAGGAGAGAACTCCAGACTTCCTTATCCCCAGACACTTGCTCCAGCTCCTCCAGGGTAATCCCATAGCATTCCCAGGCCAGCCAAGAGACATAGTCCTCAAGGCCTCCTCCCAGTGGGACATGCCTGGAACACCTCCCTAGGTAGGTGTCCAGGAGGCATCCGAAACAGATGCCTGAGCCACCTCAGCTGACTTCTCTCGATGTGGAGGAGCAACGGCTCTACTCCAAGCTCCTCCCGGGTCACAGATCACCTCACCCTATCTATTAGGGTGTGCTCTGCCACCCTGCGAGGAAACTCATTTCAGCCACTTGTATCAGAGATCTTGTCCTTTCAGTCATGACCCAAAGCTCATGACCATAGGTGAAAGTAGGAACATAGATTAACCGGTAAATCGAAAGCTTTGCCTTTCTGCTCAGCTCCTTCTTTACCAGATTGACCGCATTACTGCTGCCGCTCCCCCAATCTGCCAGTCAATCTCACATTCCATCCTTCTCTCACTCATAAACAAAACCCCAAGATACTTGAGCTAAGGAGTAAGGACTGTCCTCCGACCTGGAGATGGCAATCCACCTTTTTCTGGTGGAGGTGGAAACAAGTTTGACGTATTGCTGGCAATGCGAACCAAACTTCTATTCTCTTCATACAGGGACAAGACAGCCCTTAACAGAGCACCTCTGACCCCATACTTCCAGAGCACCGTCCACAGAATGCCATGAAAGACACGGTCGAATGCCTTCTCCAAGTACACAAACCACATGTGGACTGGTTGTGCATATTACAACATTGTATATTGTAATCTTTTACAAAACAGAAACATATTTTTTGAAAAAGTAAATTATAAGAAATGTATGTTTTGTAAAAGATTACAATGTACAATGTTGTAATATGCACAACCAGTCCACATGTGTTAAATAAATAAAAATGCTGCCTCAGAAACATATTTTTTTATTTTCTGAAAAAGTAAATGATAAAAAATGTATATAGAAAACATTTTTATTTATTTATGTATATGTATTTATCAGCTGTACACATTATAAATAAATATCAAAAATTATTCCATGTGACATTTTATAACCGTAATCAATATTGCCTTGTCATGTGATCTTATATAGTCATAAAACAGTTCTTAAAATATTGCACAATAAGGAAAATGTTTTTTCCCCTAATGAATATTAATGAGAAAAGTTAATGCAAAATTCCTTAAATAGGTTTTCTGATAATTTCATTATTTTAAATTGTTTTCTTTTTCCATTAAGGGTATGTTTACACGACACAGTTTTAAAATAAAACTAATAAATTTGCCAAATGCACAAATTTAATTGGTTTTAGTCCTAATTTTGGTGAAAATTTACAGTTTTCATTTGGCCATTTTTTTCACCCTGATGATGTTGACTTGTGTTTCACAACAACGTCTAAACAAATTGAAAACCACAAATGAAAAATGTGATCAAAGTGGTGTATTTAGTTAAGTATTGTCTGTGTTGCATGAAATGTTTCTTCAAATTTAAATGTATCCAGTCAAAAAAAGTTGAATTGTGTGAGTGTGTATTTTCCACAGATGACAGAATCTGTTCACCTCCGTTCATGGTTCTCAAGACAGAATGTGGCTTTGAAACTCTGGAGCAGCTCCACAAACATGGAATCACATTTCCTTTTAGTAAGTTCAAGTCATTAGCTGCAATCTTCATCACAGTTTAACACACATACAGAACAGGTTCCCTCAGCTGCCCATTTGACTTTACAGAATATATTTGATCGTTTGCATTGAAGCGACACATTTTCATGTTATGCTTTGTTTGATTGCAGTCTGTAAACCCCAGGTAGCTCATGGCACCAATTCCCATGAGGTAAGTACTTTACTATCCTATAACCTGCTCTATTATTCATATCTCTTGCATAATAAGCAACAGATAAGTACTGCAGATCACAGTGGTGCTCACATCTGTTACATAAGTTTTTCCTGTGACATTTGTTAATAATTTCTGATGTTGTGTAGTGTCTTATTAAGATGGTGCATATTGGGCTTTTTTAGTGTCTTTTACAAGTTGATTTTTCGCTTTATATTTTCTTTATAGTTTCATGAAAGCAACATTAGCTATGTTTTCATCCACCTATTTTATGCACATTTTGGATATGAGCTTGATGGATGGATTGGTTGATGGAAACACCAAGATGCGCATAAGTTTTGAAAATGTGCATAAAAACATATGCGCATATCTGAGTAGGATAAACTTTTTAATCCATAAGAAAAGATGCGCATAAACTATGATGAAAACCTTTTTACCGAATAAATTCCAGTTTGCACGTTAAAAAAAGTCATGTGACTTTGTTGTAAGAGATTATGTGATGATAAATATGTGTGTGAATGAACAAACCAGCAGGCTGAGCACATTGTAACACATCTGAAAGGTTGTTTTGGTCATTCTGAAACGCCTTACCGTTTAAGTACTAGTGTTATCATATTATTAATGACCTCTAGAATCAAGAGCTTCTGAGTCTCAAGTCTTTAAACGCCACCGCGCGTTCACTGCCTGTCAGGATTGCCTTCTGAGGCGCAAGTCATTTATTAAATGAAGAAAAGATTCAAGCAGCTTTTCCCACCACAGCAAGTTCTCTTTTTACTGTCGATATTTGGTGCCAGTTAATTAGGAAGTGATGATTTTGTTCTCTTAGACTCATTGGATGGAAACGCTGCTTTATTCGCATGTCTTTTATGCGATAATCCAGTATTGCGCATAAAGTTAATTTGCATTTTATGGATGGAAACATACTGCATGAGCTACTGACTCATTTCAGCTGCTTAGAAAGTGTGATTCTAACAAGCCAAAGAGCAGTACAATTAATAATTAATTGTTTTTTCATCACACAATATATATATATATATATATATATATATATATATATATATATATATATATATATTTTTTTTTTTTTTTTTTTTTTTTTTAATTTATTTTTTTCTGTAGTGCAGAAGTACATAGATAACAGTTCATACTTTAGATATAACTACTAATGCTGTGAAAAGAAGAGTCATTTGCCTTGTAAAAGTAACTTAATGCTTCAAAAAAATTTTAGGAATTACATTGTTACACCAGTAGGTAGCGACAGTGATTCTTGAAACATGTTTTGGTCATGATTCATTCAGTCATAAAAAAGGGATTTTTTAGTTCCTAATCACACTGAATGCACTTTTTGCATTGAGTGGTGCCATTTTTGAATGGTTTTCCAATGGCTACGAGCATTTTGTATGCTGCTAATGCACCCTGTGTGCCTCACATTTTAATCACCTGCTGCGCCTTGCATTTTTGCCGTTGCATTTTTTGCCGTTGCATCTATGTGCGTCTGCAGTTGAAAAAAAGTCAACTCAGAGCAGAAAAGGCACGATACGTCAGTCACATTTTTTTTTATTCTCCAATCAAATGAAAGCAGAGGCGGGGTTTTCGTTGAGGTGACAGCAGTGTTTGTGTTGTCAAGACGACTGCAGAGTCTTTTAAAGATTAAGGAGAAACTAGTGGTTGCTGTTTTGAGTTATCCAGAGCTATATGACTTCATTCATTCATTTTCCTTCAGCTTAGTCCCTTTATTAATCAGGGGTCGTCACAGCGGAGTGAACCGCCATTTTATCCAGCATAAGTTTTACACTGTGAATGCCCTTCCAGCTGCAAACTAGTACTGGGAACTATCAATATGTTTTCATTCAAAGACATACACTACGGCCAGCGGTTTCTAGCAACATAAATAGCACCACGCACTTCTTTTTTTCTTGTCAACTTCTTTTTTCTTGTTCAATTTTTGCATTGAAAGGCACCTTTTTTACCATGATTTGCAAACAGCAGCGAGCATTTTGCACGCTGCTTATACGCCCTGCGTGCCTCGCGTTTTGCACTCACAGTTGAAAAAAAAGTCAACTCACGTCTGTATCATTTTCCAATCAAATGAAAGCAGAGGCGGGGTTTTTGTTGTGGTGCTTTGTGTTGTCAAGACAGCAATGGAGACTTTTGAAGACGGAGGAGAGACTTGTGGTTGCAGTTTTGAGATATCTGGAGCTGTATGACTTCACAAGTATTGAGTATCCCAATATTATTAAATATTAAATTTATAACAATATCAACAGCAACACTCTCACACAATACCAAGCTGATTTAGTCATTGCCTAGTGACATAAAAAAGCACCACGCTTTTTCTTTTTTTCTTTTTAATAAAAAAAGACAGTAGGGTTCACCTCGCGTTTTTGGATCGGCCCCTTATCCAGTAATGATATGTGTGAAGTCTTTTGTCAATTAATCATTTATTCAAAAACTTTGATTTATCCAAAATTGAAACAAGTAAAGCAACTAATAAAACAAACAAACAAACAACAACAACAAAAAAAAAAAACGGAAAATGCCAAGTAGTATGACCAGATGCTCAATACACAATATCATAAAAGCTAACCCATGAAGCATCATTAGGGAATTTATTAATGGCAGTGAAGCAACATAACTAATATAGCTCTGTCACCTGATAACGACAACATGGCAATTGTAGTACATTCAGATTACATTCAGTCTACTCACTTTCATACTGTATAGAACATTCAAAATAAATATCTACTGAGCAACATATGGACCTTCACATGCGTTTATGATTGACTACCTGAATCACTTATTTAATAAAAAAAAGCACAAAATATTCAAACAATTGAAAGACTTTTTTATCAGAATTGAGGGAGAATCTTTATCTGGATTTTGTTTGTAGATTGTTGTTTTCTTTACCCCAAAAACATCAAGATTCTCAGTTCATCAGAATGTTGCAGCCCTCCATCAGTTGTGTTTTGTGAGTTCAGGCTGCTGTACTCGTGGATGATTAACAGCCTCTGTTGCGATGGTGACCATATCTTTGATTCTCTGTGACTAATGTACAGGCAAAGTCTCGATCGCGCACATTCCTTCAGAAAGCTGCATGAAGACTCTTATAACCCTGTTTTACAGTGTTGACAATGAGGGGCGTACCAGATTAATGTGTCACCATCCACTGCAGAACGAGCGTGTTTGTGCAAACAGGTTGATGGTCATGTGTTTTATGACTGTGAGCACAGAGGTTTACTTAGTTAAAGGAACATGCATGGATTGAGGGGGTTTGGTGTGGCAGTGTTAGTGTTGTGAAAGCGTATGCTGTAGCTTTACATTTCCTGTATATTTGAAGATACCATGTATATAGAATGTTGTGGAATGTGGTTTCTGTTTAATAGATGGCCATCATCTTCAGCGAGGAAGATCTGAAAGACATCAAGCCTCCATGTGTCCTCCAGAGCTTCATTAACCATAATGCAGTTCTCTATAAGGTGTTTGTGGTTGGCGAGGCCTACAGTGTGGTGCAAAGGCCCTCCATTAGGAATTTCCCATCTGGACCTACAGGTCAGTTTGCGCAACACCAAAATGACAGACGATTCAAAGTGTTTGATGAATGTCATTTGCACAGAAGTGTAAAAAAAATAGTCTCAAAATAAAACTCTTTATAAATGCTTAATAAAAAAATGCTGTAAGTTTTTGTCTCTTCTAAAGCATAAAAATACCATATGTTTGCAGATATTTAAGAAACATGCCAAGTGAGCATTCTTGTTTATCTGAAAAACTATACTAAAGTCAGATATTCTGCTTTGAAAATGTTTGCTACATGCCGGAACATTTGTCTTTGTTTTGGTCCTTTTACACGGCCAATGCCAGTTTAGTCAATCATATTTCAGCACCCTGGGTTGCCTTGACGGAAAACCATATATTTAATTTATGTATTCATTCATTCATTCATTCATTCATTCATTCATTCATTCATTCATTCAGAAAGGCTCTTAAAGCAAACGCCCGTGACCAAAAAGCGACCTCTAGTGGACAGTAGCAGACACCAAAATGAGACGCAGATTCAGTGTTCCACATGAGGTAGTTATGAATTAGCAAATAACATAAATATTACAAATTCAAAAATTAGTGAGCAGGTTACATTGTAACAGTGTGTCCTAACAACAGGCTACATGATGAGAATTGCAGTGATGAACGAAATTCATTGAAACACGACAGAAATTTAAACACATCCATTCAAAAGCACAGAAGCTGCTGCTTTCAGTATATGGCAAAAAATGTCATATAAAAATGGCATTCAAACTCACATTGTTAGCATTTAACACAGAATAAAGCACATGAGGTGTACCTGGAGTAATTATTGTCAGTTTTCTGTTGTTCAGCTGCTAGAAATAGAAGCCGTTTCTAATATATTAATTCCAGGTGTTGGTTAGAACAAAAACTCCTTTTAATATGGAGCATACTCCTTCTATGGTGTGCTGTTGCTTTTATATAGAACGCGATTTTTAATCGGCCTTCGGGCTTGATAGTCAGACTCACTCCTGTTGGTCGTCAATCTGGCAACCTGTGCTTAATTTGTTCTGATCCAGGAATGCGATACCTATTCAACCACTGGGTGTCAAACCTACACACTGCACATTTAAGACCAAAGTCTAAAGCCGAACTCCTAGCATTTCAAAAGCTTTTGATAACATGCGCAAACACTTGAAAGATTCATCTTTGTCTAGTGTCTGCTTATAAAATGGATACAGGCAACAAATTTGAATTTGTACTTGTAAAAAACTTAGTTTTTTGTTTAAAGAAAAGTAAAAAAAATGTATATTTATTTCATCACTATTTCTTTTCTGACTGTTAAACAGCAGCTCACCTCAGTGTTGACACTTTGTGGAAAAAGTAAGCGCAAATATAATTTAAAGCACATGTAAGATCATGTGGAATTTTCTCAAGTATATGTATGCGTGTGTGTGTGTGTATTTATATATACATAATAAATGTACACAGTACACACTTATATTATGTCAACACAAACTTTTATTTTGGATGCAGTTAACCATGATTAATCTTTTCCCAGCACTTATATTTATTCAAGAGTGTATGGGTGTTTCCCAGTGATGGGATGCAGCTGAAAGGGCATTTACTGCATAAAACATATGCTGGATAAGTTGGAGGTTCATATCACTGTGACAACCCCAGATTAATAAAGGGACTAAGCCGAAAAGAAAATGAATGAATGAATAATATATATTCCGTCAATGTGAATTTTATGTTATTGTTTGTTTAATTCACAGTAATAAACATGGTTTTCAGTTTCTATGCTTGTAGTAGTTGTAGTTAACAATAATTTTTATATTTCGTTACTGCGAATTTTTAAGCACAGTATTTTTTGAAAGAAAGTAATCATTTTATTTTTAATCATTCAATTGATAAGAAAAGACATGAATGACTTTACAAATATTTAAAATACATGCTGCTATAGTTCTATTTACAGAAGTAATCTGAGATAGTCTCATGAGTTTTGCAAAAATATCACACAGCCTCCCCATTTACAGCATTCCAACAACACTGAAGATTTCTTCATCTCCAAATCAGCATATCAGAACGATTTCTTAAGGATCATTTGACAGACTGTTTCATAATATCCCTTTTTTCCCAAACCTTTTTTCCAAAGCAATTTACCTTTGCTGTACATATGGGACTTTTAACTTTTGAATAGTAGCATTTGTAGTTTTTTCTGGCTCTTCATATTGATTATTTTATTGTATTTGTTGTATTTATCAAGGTTTTCACTTACAAATAGAGACACATCTGCTTTCTGTGTGAGAGCCAGGCATCAACACCAATAAAAGCACTTTGCATGGTTCCAGACATCATTTAGACATCAGATCACTTTAGTTATAGTCTATCAAAGAACATCCCATCCTAACAAACCTACATTCTCTGGAAGTTTTTATAAGGTTTAAGCTTTTGTTTAAAATCAGAAACAAAGTAAGATTGAAGTTAATGGCACTTGTGTGAAGGCGAGGCCTCTCAGTCTGTCCAGACCAGTCTTTCAGCATATGCTGCTGATGTTTAGACACTCTTACAGAGAACTGCTTTATTTAGTCTTTAACGTGGTATTCATTAAATAAGCAACTCAAAGGGTTTCTCCTCAGATGTCAGAGTGGTTTGGTGAATTATGCCCCCCAATGGCCAAACAAATTCACTGTTGGCTAGAATTGGTCAATTCTTTTGTTTAAAGTTTATGAGGCAATACATTGTGGATTTTTCTCTGAAAAAAAACACTTTATAAAAATTATACGTTTACTGGATGTATTTGTCACAAGTATGAAATTATGTATAAAACTCAATGGATGAAAAATATATCAAAATACTCTCACATGTTAACATTAAATCATCATTTTAATCTACAAATTTTCTATTTGTGTTTATTCAAAATAGTTTAAAAGAACAGCATTTATTTAAAAGGACATGTCTTTAATTCTTATAATGAAATCTAATATATGCAAATTGCAGAAATGACATACAAGTTCATATTTGGATGTCACATATATAGAATATATGTCATGTATGCAACATATATTTTAAAAGAAATATAAAAAATGGCCATTTACATAGATTTTTTGGAACCATTAGAATTTTAAATATGTACATATAGTATAGTATAGTATAGTATAGTATAGTATAGTACAGTACAATACAGTACAGGCGTGACCAACCCTGTTCCTGGAGATCCACCTTCCTGCAGATTTCAGTTGCTACCCATATCAAACACACCTGCCTGTATTCAGGTCCTAATTAATTGGTTCAGGTGTGTTTGATCAGGGTTGAAGCTGAACTTTGCAGGAAGGTCAATCTCTGGGAACAGGGATGAGCACCACTGGTATAGTATATGCCGGCAGCTTGCTCTCTGCAACTGTCATATGGTCACCCACTGAAGCTACCCGGTCAGTACCTGAATGGGAGACCACATGGGAATCGCCTCATCCAGGTGGATGCTGCACACTGGTGGTGGATGAAGAGATTCCCCCAAAAATGTGTCCAGAAAAACTCAATATAAATTTATGGAATTATTAATAATAATTATTATTATTAGTAGTAGTAGTAGATGTAGTTAGTTACATATACGTTCATAGTATATAGCTACTGTATATATGAACACATAAAAATTACAGTTAATATATTTGAACATATACATACATACATATAATTTCAAAGGTTGAATAAACCAATATAAACATAAGTTTGGCATTTATTACATATATTTTATATATGTGAAATCCACATACAAAATTTTACGACATGTAATTTTTGCCATTAATCAGATTTCCATATGATTTTTGATTAGTTTAATGCCACTTTGCTAAATAATATTATTACTTCTTACAAAATTGACCAAAAGCTTTATAAAAGCCTTTTTTCTGTATTTTTAAAAAAATATTCTAGACAGGAGAGCAATATCCTTCAACAGTCATCATGTGTCCAAACCAGAGTCCTCTTCTCATCTGACCTGTGTAAGTCCACATGCATCATACAGTATTTTCAGCTCATTTAATGCTTTATCCACTGAATTCAAAAATTTAAATGTTTAAAATTAGAAAAAAAAACTGTTGTGTAAATATCTAATTGAATCTTAGTATTTAACTAAACTTTAAACTTTATAAAGGAGCACTTACAAAAAAAAAGTGCATTTAAAAATGTTCACTACATTAAAAAATGTCCTGTTTCCTCTAGAGGGACAACATGGTGGGCCAGTCCTGGAAGCCAAGCAATGAGGTCATTCAGAAAATTTCCAGAAAGTTACACCAGGCCCTTGGCATCTCTCTGTTTGGGATTGACATCATCATCAACAATCAGACTGGGCAGCACGCCGTCATCGACATCAACGCTTTTCCGGGTACGTGCAGTTCCTCACAATGCTTTAACTGGGTAATTTACCTTATCTCTATGCACTGAACTCTATTCACTTTCAAAACCAGCAATAATCCAGACCAACCACATGGTGTCAGTATGGAGTAATAAACACATCATTTGTTGTGGTTTTAAATGCAATACACAATTATCTAAACATTAAATGGACAAATAGTTTCTAACAATTCATTCAAATGTGCATTAAATTTGTCTCTTCTGTTTACATGAATATGGAAGGCAGTTGTTTTGAATGACAAATGTTTTAAACAAAATGCATGCAGTTTGATTGTGTCAGCATTTATGGTTTGACCTTAAGGTGGCAATTTTATAGAAGGCTATATAATGTCTGATGTTTGCATATGTACATACCAGTATGAACAAACATGGAGTCTTTTGTCTTTATTTATACTGCAGTATACCAGTGTGGCGCGAATGCAAATATATTGTCAAATACTTGTTGATGTGATGACACTGTCGTTCACAATCAGATTTCAAATATTTTGTTTTTAAGTCTTTTGACTCTGATTGCCTTCCATATATTTTCTATGCACAGTGCAACGCAATTTTTATTTGCTACTTTTAGCTTGGCGAAAGGGTCATTTTGAGGTGTTGCGCCACGCTTTTTAAATAGCAAATGCATTTGCGCTCATATGTGCGTCCATAGGCGTTAGCAGGCGTGTTTTGGCGCGTTGCTCTTTTGAGAAACTGTTATAGTCTGTTCTTTAGACCAGAACAAACCCGGTCTAAAGTCCGGCGCAGAGCGCGTTAGTTGTGCGCCTCGCTTACACACTGCTCACACACAAGATGTGGAGCAATACACAAATATCTTTACATATGAAAAAGAATTAAAATATTAAGGATTTATATAGAATATAATAAGTATATATATAGGATTCAAACATAAAGAATTAAGATATTACGAAACATTATTTTCTAGCCTGCATGAATTTAAAAACCACTGCCTTGAATCCTTCATCTCAGGAGGCTTTTTCAGTTCATTCAATTTGCTTTTGTATAATGTTATTATTATTAGCAGTATTATTTATAATATCCATATTTATATTTGTTTTATTAAAAACAAGCTTAGATTTGTCCACCTGTCAGGTTTAAGACCATATGGGGCATAGCAGGTGTATTTGGAAATAACTCAGTATTTTGACCACACTTTGTTATTATTAATCATTTATTCGTTTGCTGGAAATTAGAACCGAATTTAGAAATAGTTTTTAAACAAATCTTTGCGCTTAACAAATAAAATAATTTTTTTATAGGCTAATTGATGTCTGTGCGTAAAGCTTTCCATCTACGAGAGCGAAAGCGAAAGTGAACGTACGTCATGTAAATAGCAAATGCGCTTTTGGCGCGACGCAACTGGCTCTTAAAGGGAATGGGAGATGAGACTCTGATTGGTTTATTCTTAAAACACACCTATAACTCATTAAGAAAATAATCTCAACCCTTTTAGACCATGCGCCACGGCACAAAGCAGATTATATTAGCAAAGCATCCTTATATAAGCAAAAATACATTTTGACACGCCCTAAAAGTGCTTGCGCCCTGCGTTTTGCGCCCAGCGTTTTGCACTCTGCGCATGATCCGTTAAAATACATATGTGCTAATATAAGGACGGGAAAATCCGCTTTGCGCCATGGCGCATGGTCTAAAAGGGTTAAGATTATTTTCTTAATGAGTTATAGGTGTGTTTTGAGAATAAACCAATCAGAGTCTCATCTCACATTCTTTTTAAGAGCCAGTTGCGTCGCGCCATAAGCGCATTTGCTATTTACATGACGTACATTACATTTAATCCTTTATATATATATCCTATATATATACCCTTATTATATCCTATATATCCTTAATATTTTAATTCTTTTTTAAATGTAAAGATATTTGCGTATTGCTCCACATCTTGTTTATTGAGCAGTGTTTGTTCTGGTCTAAAGAAAAGACTATTACAGTTTCTCAAAATAGCAACGCGACAAAACACGCCTGCTCTTTTAGACCAGAACGCCTATGGGCGCACATATGAGCGCAAATGCATTTGCTATTTAAACAGCGTGGCGCAAAACGTCAAAACGACTCTTGCGCCAAGCTAAAAGTAGCAAATAAAAATTGCGTCACGCCTTGCGCCACATTGCGCCGGGTGTATGATAGGGCCCATGGATTCTGACACACCTTGCGTTTGCGCCCTGCGCTTTCAGTTTTGCGCATGGACTGTCAAAGTAGAGCCCTATGTTTGCAAACAATTTGTTAAATTTAAACAAACAAATTAAATTTAGTCGTGTTCAACTAAATTTGTTTGTTTAAATTCAGCCGAAATAAATTGTTTACTACTTCTTAACTTAAAAAATCTTGTAAATCCAAGGAATCATCTTGCAATATTTTTTTTCAGTGTGAATGATGGCAAAAGTACATGAGAAAGTACTTTTGTCAGTATGTCAAGGCTCAGCTGTGTTTGCCAGCGTACAGTAGTAAGTCTAAAAGCCACCTGGCCTTCTTTCCGCCTGTTGCCATAGCGATCTTGTGTATCTAGCAGGGAACGGCACTTTGAAATCTCTCAGTGGCTCAGCTGACGAGTCCCATGAGGCCGCAGGAGCAACACAACAGATGATTAATAATCTCCCTCTCGCCAATCTCACTTCTCTTATCTGAAATCCAGGTTACGAAGGAGTCCCGGAGTTTTTCGACGACCTTTTGAGCCACATCAGCAGCGTCCTGCAAGGTCAGGTTTGTAATGGAGTGGCGTGTGGGCACCTGAGAGTCAACGGGACGGCGCAGAGCCAGACCGTACACTGCGGCATGCTGGGAAATGACAGCAGCTGGTTGATGGACAGCGAGGGGATCAAGAAGGGTCCGCATCAGGGACTGAGTTGTTGCGGCGGCTGCATGACTCCGAACTTTCACCAGCACACCAGATCCAGTTTAACAGCAGAGACGTCCTCGCAGTGACTATAAAGAGTTTCATTAGTGCATAGGTGTACAGACAATTCATTAGTGCCAAAATGTTGGAACAATTAATAAATGTTTTATTGATTTTTGTCAATTATTAAATTTAATGTTTGAAAGGGACGAGCTGATCTTGGAAAAAATGAATGTGATTTACTTTACTGTTATGAATGTTGCACTGAGTTTGATTTGCAGAACAAGGAGAAAATGAAGATATTGCTAATATATTAATGAGATGCTTGAAAAGGAAAATGAGTGTCATGATTTGGATGTAAGACGTTGCACTATTTAAATAAGACTAAGACTTCTCTTCTGGTGTGTATGATGAATTGTGGCTTACTAAGAGAAAGTCTTTTATTGCTGTCATAAGCAATCTGCTCGTGATGAATCTGTTCCAACAATAGCAACTTTGCTTTTTAAAAAAAAGTTAAGTAGCGTTAGATTAAATAAAAGGAAAGAAAGATGAAGAATCATTTCACATTTGAAGGGGTCCAGAAAATTATGTAAAATCCTTGTATACTGGAAGATGATATGAGATCATTTAGGGGTTATGCTTTTATTGCCTAAAATGACTGTCACTCAAAAGTGAAAATGTTCAACATGTTATTTCAAACCTGTACGACTAGATATTTCATTCACAGAATATTTCTGTACTGTTTACACAATACTGTTTTTGTTCAATAAATTAAAATCAAGGTTCAAAAGAGCACTTTGTTTCTGAACAATACCTCTAATTCTGCAGGTTGGTGCCAATAGAAGTGCAGAAATAATGGTGTTGCCTTGGTTAGTGCAGTAAACAAAGCAGCATGATGTCAAATCTAGCAGGATTTATTGATTTCATACACTACACAGCATCCTGATAGTCACAGATTTAATTCAGGCAAACTTTAGCATACAACCATACAATGCATAATCAAAAATGAAATAAAATGTAATGCCTTGCAAAATAGCTTTTAAGACTTTTTAATACTTTTTAAGGGCCTTAAATTTCTCTACATTGATTTATCAACTTTTAATACTTTGTAAGACCCCGTGGACCCCCTGAATGAGAAGTAATTGGCATGTAGTTGCAATGCAGCTTTTAGTCAATAAAATGTGCAAAAGACACCATCAAAATAAAGTCTTACCGGTCCCAATTTATATTAAGTGTCCTTAACTACCATGTACTGACATCAGAAAATAAATACAATGTACTTACTGTGTTTATAATGTATTTGTGGTGCTTTTGAGTTGGGATAGAGGTTGGGTTATGGACAGGTTTGGTGGCATGGGTAGGTTTAAGGGTGGGTTAAGGTGTAAGGGATGGTCAACAGTGTATTTACAAATGTAATTTCAAAAGTTAATTACAGATGTAATTACATACATGTATCTAATTAAGCATAAGTACACAGTAAATACATGTGTTTACACAACAAGTACATTGTAACAAACTATTAATTCCTGTGTAAGTACATATTAGTTTAGGCCACTATATAAAGTGGGACCCTTACCATTTTTCCAAATATCTCATGTTTTAGAGTTTATGTGACACCAGTTTTAAATAAAAACATTCCACTTTTTACACATTTTGGCCGTTCATTTACACAACAACTAGGCTCATTCTAAAATATAACTATATACATTTTTGGAGATCGTGAATAATGTAGCCTGAAGTATGTATGCTTCATCTTTAAAACAAATGATATCAGGCCGTATTACGCCGTTCCTTTTTCACGCTAGCAGCTGACCACTTACCTCCATATGGACGGCTTTCCCGCTGTTACCAGTTTGTCCTGTGGCTTGCAGAGTATGTTGATGGATTTGAGATGCAGTGAAGAGCTGACTGTAAAGACTGGGTTCGAGTCTGATGAAGAATGGTTCCAGAAAGCAAGTTAGACAAAAGCAAAAGCCAAGTAAATAAACAAGTAAATAACAGATTTGTTTTCCTTTTCTGGATCGCCTTTGAAAACACTGTCGGGTTGGGTTTAGGGAAGTGGATGGGCGCTGGTCAATCGGTGCTTTTGGGTTGGGTTTCGGGAAAGGGGTGAATGGGGGATCAATAAGCCAGTGAGTCAGTTGACAGCAGTTTCAGGTGGATTTACATGAGAAAAGCAGGGCACGGATGGTACTCGCAAGAGAAATTTGAAATCTGAAAAAGCGTGCACAGCGGCCTCTAGTGGACTGGCGAAAATAAAGCAGCAAAAAAAGGTATCTCCTGGGATGTATTTGGCGCTCTCCAGAAATGTATGTAGGGCTACGTTTTCAGAATGAGCCTGTGTTGCACAACAACAACTTACTGAAGGCAAACTTAAACATCTGACATGAAAAAATGGATAGTACTAAATTCAAAGATCTTGATCAGTTCAAACATGCAGTCTAAACCATTTTCATTTTATCATTTTTACCTCATAAAACCAATAACCAAGATAATTTGCCAATCAACCAGAAAGGGGAGAAAAACCTTAAATACAGAAAATATATTTTTTAAAAATTATAATTCTACTGTAGTTTTGTTTTCATAGATTTGTGTAAATAGTTGTTGTTTGTACGCAAATGCAGGAAAATAACCATTTTGCTTAGATTATTATCATGTAAACGTCCCTCACTAAAGAAAATCATACAGGTTTTCAGTGAAACAGGACACAATATGATTGACAAACAGTGCTGGGAAAAGTTGTTTTAAACCATTACAATATTGAGTTACTCCCCAAAAATTAACTAGTTGTGTTTTTTAGTTACTATTATATATACATTTATATATATATATATACATATTACGTTATACTTTTGCGTTACTTTTTATTTTATTTCACTGAGGTTTGATCTCTTTCAAAGCTTTTATTTTTTCTTTCTTTTTTTAAAAGAGAAGTTCTGAAATGAACAGCACAATGTATAACCTACACCAACGTTTCGCTTTAAAAAAAACAACAAATTTAGGTTAATGTTATCTGAGAACTTCCTCACCCCAGAGCTCTACATGCCATATATGCAGATTATTGAAAGTTTAAAGCAACGTGTTAACTACCTATCTGTCTTAAGTAAAATCATTGACTTGAGACAATCCCCTTTTCCTTTTCCTCGATGCCTTCAAAATAATGAACACATTGTCTCATTGACTGTGTGAGTCATTGTGACTACTTTCATTTTAATTCAGCAATTTATTTTTTTTTAAATCTATTAATCATTTTCAAAAAAGTAACTCAATTATTATTACTTTTTTTTAAAGGAATGCTTTACTTTACTCGTTACTTAGAAAAATAATACTATTACGTAACTTGCGTTACTTATAATGTGTTACCCCACAACCCTGCAAACAAATCGTCACCTTGGAAGGTTCTATCTGCGTTCTGAATGATTTTGAGATATTGAGCTTCAAAGTTTTTGCATTCCATAGCAAACAGTATGTGTAACATTTAAAAAAAAAAAGTCTTAAAATGTAAAAAACTTATAAAAAACATCCATAATATAAATAAGTTGCCATTTTATAAGAATATATCAATAACTCAATTTTGATAAAAATGACAGATAGAATCTTCTAATTCTAAGGTGACAAAATATGTTAAATTTGCTCATTTAATCATTTCCATTGATGTTTCGTGCCCCATCCCAGCAGGCACACAACATCATAAGATGTTAAAATTAGGTTAGATTTAGGTCATAACGTCAAGTGATCAAAATTCAATGTCTAGCCAGCGTATAAGGACAACATTATTTTGACATCTAATAACGACGTGAAATTACTTGATATTTGGTTGATTTTAGGTTGTGTTAGAAAGTGACCAAATCCATCGTCAGATACAGTAGATGTCATAGTGCAAACAATGTCAAGGTATAACATGATTAGACGTTGATATTTGGTTGGGTTCTGAAGTAAACCCGATTTTCATATCCAAACAAAATCCAACGTCCCCATGACATTGGGGTACAACGTCAATATGAAGTCATGTTTACGCCCTGTGCCTACAGAGATGAGGTTGTGTTATACTTGAGAGTGGTCTGGATGCAGACCTGGTGCAGTGCAATCTGAGCTGCACCCAATGCTTTTTAATGCACTCACCTAACCCCACCCCTAACCCTACCCATCAAAGTGACGACACTCACATCATTGAGTGCATTGTGTCTGACATTGCATCGCTGAGTGATGCAATCTCAGCTTGCATCATAAAGGCTGCATCCAGATACTATTGAAATTCTGATTGTTTGCATGCTCTCTTAACATTTAGTTCAGACTCACACACTTTGCACATTATGTGGAATCACTTTGAAACACTTCTTTATTTGTTTTCTGGAAACCCAAAAACCATTTAAACACAGTCGTCACCATATTTAATAAAAACATTATTATTGCATATAGATCATAAGACTCCATATTATCAGGTACAATCTTTCAGATGTGTACTCTTGAGTATATTTAAAATGTCAATCTAGCGTGATAATTCCAGCTAGTTTTTAGCAAATATTTGAGACAGTATGTACTCAATGCCCAAATTTCTTCAGGAAGCAAGCACGATAAAGCAAAGCGGAGCGCAGGGAAAGAGAAGGGATATAAATGTTTTGGCTTCGAGGGTTGATGTTACACGTGTAGGGAAGGAGCACTGAGATAAGAGCTTGCGCTGCTGTGAACTGAGCCTCATCTCCAGTTTACATGCCTTTCTACTGAAGGAGAGATGAAGGGCAGACGTGAAAGAGAAGGAGAGCTGGAGCCGATCAGCCTCGTCTCAGATCATGGAGCTTCTGAGCCACGCTCTCTAATTCAGACTCAATGGCAGCCAGACTCTCGATCTCAGCATCCTGATAACAAAACACAAAAGAAGCTCATCAGGGAAACAACTATGTACACACATACTGTATGTATGAAGTCTCTGTATTTATTTGGTCAAAAATACAATAGAAGCTGTGCTATTGTGAAATATTGTAACCGCTTTTTATCAATTTAAATATGCAATGGATTCTTGTGATGCAAAGCGGAAGTTTCTGCATCATTGCTACAGCTGTCAGCATCACATGATTCTTTTGAAATGAGTAATATGCAGATTTGATGCTCAAGAAATTTTTATTTCTATTATTATCAATGCTGATTTATGATCTTTTTGCTGGTTCACTATTACTGCAAAAATTATTTTCTTACTTGGTTTTAGTCTTATTTCTAGTCCAAATATCTAAAACGTTTTAAATCAAGAAGCATTTTCTAGACAAGTCAAAAATATTGTCTTGTTTTCAGAAATAAAATGTAAAAATTAATAATTAAAACAAGCAAAAAAATAAATTATAAACAAAAATCTGCCATATAATATTTTTGCTTTGAAATAAGGTTTATTTTGCTTACCCCACTGGCAGATTATTTAGCTTGTTTTAAAGAAAAACTCACTTTATTTTACATTTTATTTCTGAAAACAAGTCAATATTATTAGAAAATGATTCTTGCTTGAAAGATTTTTAAATATTTAGACTAGAAACAAGACAAAGGGCTCTATTTTGATGATCCATGCGCAAAGTGCAAAGCAGAGGGCGCAAACGCATTCATGGCGTGTCAGAATCCTCTTTTGCTAATATAAGGATGGAAAAATCTGCGTTGCGCCGTGGCGCATGGTCTAAAACAGGGGTTTTCAAACTGGGGTCCGCGGCCCCCTGGGGGGCCGCCAGATGGCGCTAGGGGGGCCGCAAAGAAATTTTAGATCAATGAGCCGACATGGATGAATTTTGTGTCCCGCATCATTCTGAAGGTTA